TGTACTGTCTTCGACTGCTTATTCTGCTCCGATCTCCAACGCTTGGGGTGGCTGGGGTCATTGCAGTCTGGGTGGGAACTTCGTGCAGGGGCCGCTAACAGCAGGAAATGCCATCCACCCTGGCTGGGGTCGTTGCAGTCTGGGTGGGGACCTCGTGCAGGGTTCGTTGACCGCAGGACACGCCATCAACCCGCACTGCCTTCGACTGCTCATCCTTCCCCGACCTCCAAGGCTTCGGGTGGCTGGGGTCATTGCAGTCTGGGTGGGGACCTCGTGCAGGGGCCGTTGACAGCGGGAAGCGCCAGCCACCTGTATTGTCTTCGACTGATGATCCTGCCCCGGCCTCCAAAGCCGGGGATGGCTGGGGTCGTTGCAGTCTGTTTGGGGACCCAGTACAGGGGCCGCTGACAGCAGGAAACGCTATGAACCCGCACTGTCTTCGACTGCTCATCCTGCCCCGACCTCCAAGGCTTCGGGTGGCCGGGGTCGTTGCAGTCTGGGTGGGGACTTCATGCAGTCCCCGCTCTTTCACATTCCCCCTCCCCAGCCGTGCGGGCTGCATCGGGCTTTCGCTGTCGTCGACGGCTCCGCTGGGCTCGATCTGGCCGACTGCAGGGCGGAGGAGCAGGGGGGAGGGGTCGAGCCGAAGGTGGTCCCCAGTGTCTCGAGCCCCGATGCCCCGTTCCTGCCGTCTCTGGCTGCTCAGTCTGCCCAGGCCTCCCATGGTCTGGGGAGCCTGGGGTCGTTCAGAGGAGAAAAAGGTACCCATACCTCTACCCTCTCCTCGCTTTCCCTTTTTTGGGCCTCCTGGGAGGCCTCGTCGCCACCGCTGGCTTCGCCTCGAAATTCTGGTCAGAACGCACCCCAGGAGAGGTCCGGGGGGTAGCGGTATCGGTACCTTTTGGCTTCCCCAGTCGTTGCGGTTGGAGGAGAGTCTGCTGGGAGCAAATGGCGGCTGATCACCGCCCACCACGCGGGCAGACTGCCGTGAGCCTTGCATGGGCTGGCTGGGTGTCCCCAGGGCGAGTCCTTTTGGAGTTCCGTCCCTGCATCTGCGCTCGGCCCGCCCAAGGCCTCTGTGGTGCTTGTGTGCCCCAGCGGCAGGTTTTTTCATCGCCCAGCGTGAGGTTTAAATGGATAATTCGTGCCATAATAGCTCGCGTCAGATTGACTGACATATTTTTCGCTCATTGGTTGGATAGTAGATTCCACGTTCAAGATTTTCTCAAACGACGCGAATTTGGCAGGAAAAACAACACCAACTATTATAATTCAGAAAGTACGCATCGTGAGCAGTGTTCACCCAGGTAGCCAGACAAGTCCAGATTTGACGGAATGCGGATTGGGCCCTTCGAGGAGCCCTTGTCCACCTGTCTCATCTGGCCTCGTGCTCCAGGACGCCTAGCTGCTTACGAGGCGGACTGGGCGCGGAGGCAGGACGAGGTCATACAGAGGAGGGCTCTCCCAGACTGCGCCTTCTGGACGGGGGTCGGGTGTTACCACTCCGTCGAGGTCTCGACGGCCAAGAATCTCGAGAGTTTCTCGTCTTACCAGCACAGTGACGAGGACGGTGACGCCCTTGATGGCGGGCCGTGCAAGGGGGCCGAGGCTCGCGAGCGGATGAGGGGCCATCACATGATAAGGGCCACGGGTGATGCCAGGGGCAATAGTTTCAGCGCAAGGTCCAGGTCAGCCATCCCAGTGGACGAGGACAAGTGAGTGAGTCCTAAGTTGCCATGATTTTTCCCTTTCTCCCTCTCACTTTATTTTCTCGTAACCGCTTGGCTTCGAGGTTCAGTCCTGCACCGCCGTACCCCAAGCCGCGTCCTGCAAATCACGCCCCCTCAATTCAAAGTTTACACTGTACAGCAATCGTCTAATGGACACTATTTCGTGGCAACATTTTTTCTTACGGGCGCAGCTTCTGACGTGCGAGCTTGCTCTGGTATCCGCGGCGCCCGTGCAAGTCTATATGACATGTGCACGTGGCAAACTCGACCTGGGCCATCAGGTCGAGGGGGATGTTTGCGTATGGCCCTTCATGTTACTGTGCGTTCTGCCGTATTCGGCTCAAGTGTTCAAGCCCGTCAAGTCCGTAGCCATTTTGGCTCAAGTTCGAAACGCTTCCCTGGCGCTTCGAGCTTGGTCGCTGCCGAAGGGACGGCTCAGGGCGACCTTCTTGCGAGGACAGGCCTCGCGGCACGCGAGCTTCAGCGCCCGTGCCTTCCATCCGCATTTTGCGGAGATCCCTCCCAGTCCACCGTGCTCTTCACCTTGCCCAGACTGCTGCCATGGGGAAGCGGCGATCTGAGCGGCGTGGCTCTGCACGATCTTCATCGCCTTCATCTGCTCCAAGAAGGAGCGCCAGCAGGACACCCGACGCCCGCCGCTCCGACGGCGAAGATCAGTCTCGGATCACCTCCCAGCTCGACCCGATCGCCTACAGCATTGCCAGCATGAACCAGGTGGTCTCGCAGAACGCAACAGAGCTGGCTGAACTTCGAGGTGCCGTGCAGGGAAGTTTCAAACGATGCGGGGAGCTCGCTGATCAGATGAAGCTACTCGCTCGCGACGTACAGCCCAAGCACCACATGCTCGACGCTGAGTTGAAGAACGTCATCTCTGTACAGGACGCGAAGTTGAATGCCCTCCGCACCGAGCTCTTAGCTGGGAACACAGGTGACGCCGCCATGACCTGCCCCTCGCTTAGTGAGAAGTGCGAAAGCATAGAGCGACAACTGGCCGACCTGGCCGATCGTCAGCGCATCTCAGAGACTCGGCTGTGCGAGTCGCTCTCCACCCCGACCCCGACCTCCCCCCCCCTGTCCTCCAGTGCCTCGAGTGCCAGGGGCAGCTCGCGCCCGAGCCCGCCCGACCAGCCGCAGCAGGATACATGCAAATTGGTCCTGCTTGGCTTTCCTAGGCCCCTCCTTGCCAACGATCTTCGTGAGATTGGCAACGCGTGCATCATGCAATTCTCCCCAGAAGCACAGCAGGCAAGGATTCTTGCCCGCGGCTTTGATCTTTCGAAGAAGGTGACTCTCCTCTTTGAGACGGCGCTAGGCGCCAGCACTTTCCTTGACAATTTCATCAGAGCAGGGGGCGCATGGAGTGTGCCTGACCCTGCCGCAGGCGCCCCGCCCCTTTCACTCCGCCTCCGTCGTGATCTCAACCCCATCTCGCGGCAGCTGTTCCTCTCCCTCGGGAGGATCCGAGCTGCGCTCACTGCCCCCCCTTGCGCCCAAAGGAGTGGAGGTAGGCAGCGCAGGACTCGGCGGCTCAGTTTTCTTTTTACGGCGGGCCCACGAGCCCGTACAGGCAGTCAAAGTGATAGTTTCAGGAGAGCCGAATATTGAGATCCGCTGCGCCAGAGATGTTTTCCTTGAATTTGGAATCGTCGAACGCATCGAGCGCGTCGAGGCTGCAGGGGCGGTGGCGCTCCGTAGGCCCTTTTAAGACGGAGGCAGACCGTTTTCCAACTCAGGCCCCCCCCTCTTGCGCCTCCTCCCTCTTCCTCCCCCCCTCCCCCCTTTCCCTCTGTACATGGAACACTGGCGCCCTCTTCACCACTGTGAAGACGAACTCCTGGCGTGCTCGGGACCGTTACCACCGTTACCTATCGCTCTGCAACGCCAATGACATCATTACCGTGCAAGAAACACATGGACATATCGGGGATATTGCTGAGTTGGAACACAGCCTGCCTGGCTTCCGATTCGGATATTCTTTCTTTGAAGACTCCTCTCGGGAAGGAGGGGTTGTCACCGCTCTCAGTCCTGCTCACGTGCATCTCTTCTCTTCCGTTTCTCATTCTACTTTGGTTACGGGGAGGATGATCAAATCGACGTTGATTGGGGATTATGGCAATCTGATTGTATACAATCTTCATCTCCCGAATACTTCTGATGCGTTCCCGCTTTTTGCTGGAGTGCTCGGCGTGCTGCAACGCGACGTTCTGTTACACCTGGGGGAGGGCGCCGTCGTAGGCGCACGCATCCTGCTCATGGGGGACTGGAATTTTGTCTTAGAGGAGGAGGGGGGGCTCCACGGGGACGGGAGTGGTATCTCTGCCGGCGACGCTGGGCGCTCACGACACTTTCGCCGTCTTCTTCCTCACTTCACTGAACTGTTTCAGCCCGCCGACACCCGCAGGGGGAAGAAAGGGTCCGCAGTCGCTTCGACCTCGCGGTTAGATCGGATCTACACCTCCCTTCCCGCTGCCCTTATCCGTGATCTCACCATCTCCACCACTGTCGTTGGGGAGCTGAAAGCGGTGATGAGCAGCGACCACCTGCCCGTTCGTTCTACTATCACAAGGTACTCTCCCGACCCCGGGAGTCCCTGCATCCCCGCATGGCTTGCCGAGACCCTTGAGTTCGGACGGGCCCTTGAGGAGGTGATTGCTACCATCCCCGCCGCCTGGGGCGAGTGGACCCGTGTGGAGCTTGCCGAGTCTATGATGTTTGAAGCTGGCCGATCGGCCCGTCTTGCTCTGCGGCGTCGGCTTGCCCGCACGAGACAGGAGAAGCACTATTGGGCTCTCTCAGCGATGCGTGCGGTGATACGTGGTGACCAAGAGGGGACTCGACTCGCTCTCGAATGTCATCCTCGGCTTCGGACCCACTTCGATGAGCCCGATCGGTGCATTCACTTCGAGGGGTGATCGCAGCATATCTCCTGCATATACAGGCAAATTCTGGAGGAGGAGGAAGGCGATATTAGGAGGGGCTCAGCGGATGCATCGGTGAAAAGGTCGGCGATGGCTCGGTTGCGACGGCGGCGGCTCCTCTGGCAAAAGTTTCGGAAGCGGACGGTCCTGGGGAATATCATCTCGGTGGGCGGAGTCCACGCATCGTCCGACTCGGAGGCCGCCGTTACTCTCGGGGCTTTCTGGGAGCAGCAGTTTGCCGCCCCCACCGTCGATCGCCCCCAGTGGAATTCGATTGCCACCCATATTCGCACCGTGCAGGCCCCGCTTTCGGTCGACTGGTGCCTTCCCGATGCTGTATGTATTGAGATGGTTCGGACTCGTGGGCACAGCGCCCCTGGTCCTGATGGACTACCGTATGCCGTGTGGAAGCAACCGTGTGCGGCTCGTATTTTTATACTCGTGCTACCTCACCCTCTTCGATGACCGCATCTCCTCTCCCCCGTCTGACATGCTCTGCAGCTTGCTTGTATTTCTTCCTAAAGGTGCCCTACAGGATGACTGCCCAGGCCGCCCGCTGCACCGACCGGCGGCTGCCACCAGACCCATCTGCCTGGGCAGCGCGGATGTTAAGATCCTAGCCGCCGCCTGCGTCATGCCCATTGCCGCGAACTCTGCTACCCTGATAGGGGAGGAACAGAAGTGCGTCAGCGAGAGGGACATGGTTGAGAACGTGGTGAGGGCGGAGGCTTGGGGGGTGGAGAAATACATGACGGCATCTTCAGACGCGGCTTTACTGTTGACTGACTTCGCGTCAGCGTTTCCTAGCCTGGCGCAGGAGTGGCTTTTCTTCGTGCTTGAGGCCATGGGCATTCCTTCCCCGCTCGTCCACTTCTTCCGAATGATGTACTCCGATAGCACCGCTATCCTCTCACTTCGTGGTCGTCGTCACGGGCTTATTCGTATCGCGTCTGGGGTCAAACAAGGCTGCCCCGCCTCCATGTTCCTCTTCGTTCTCGCCGTGAACCCTCTGCTGGCATGGATTAGGGCGTCCCTCGGCTCAGCGCTGGGGCTGTCTCTTGGAGTTGAGCGAATCTCCTCATCACTCAAAGCGCTTCTTGACAGCTTGGAAGCACTGGCGGCGGTTGCCAACCTTCGGCTGAACTTTCGGAAGTGCCAGGTGGTCGTCTGCGGGACTATGGACACATCACCCATCCGCTCCCTCCTCCGCTCCTTTGGCGCGCCCTACAACCTCATTCAGGTCTCCCTCTCCGCCACCTACCTTGGCTTCCCGATCGGCCCCGAGGGCGCCGCGCAGGTATGGTCCCCCATCCTCCCCAGCTTTGTTGCGAGGATTCACCAGACGCGTGCATTGGGATTGGGAATTGCTCAGTCCGCGGCTGCCTTTCAGGTCATGTGTGTTAGCAAGCTCTTGTTCAGGCTTCAGCTCTACCCGCCCTCCCAGGAGCTGGTGTCCGCCTACCGCAGCGGAGTGCTCCTCCTCACCTCGGGGCCCAGGAACGCCATCTCCTACAACGTCGCCACGAAATTTTCCCGCATCGGATTCGCCGCTGAATTCCTGGAGCTCGACGCGGTCGCGAAAGCCACTGCCCTTCGGTATCTCTTGAGATCTGGGTGGATCTTTGGGCTTCTGGATTCGCTGGAGGCCTCTCGTTCAGACGTCGAACGCATTCCGTATAGGTGGCTTCGTGGGTGGCATGCTGAAGGGTTCTTGCGATGTTTGAGGTCGGTCAAAATGTGGTATTGCGGGCTCTCCCTTGACATCCCTTCCTAGTATCGAGTCCATCCTCCATCGGCGTGCCCACCACTTTTGCCCTGAGGTCACCCGTGAGCATATCGTCATCCTGAAAGAGAACATAAAAAGAGTGTGCAAAGCAACGAGTATGTATGTTGGCATGACTCCCTTTCGTTTGCTGACTGGATCTATCTGCACGAGCTCCCGATTTTACTCAGCCCCAAGAGGGTGTCTATTCGGGTGCCAGACCGTCGACGGAGTCGACAACGATTCGCTTCGCCATTATTCTTCTTGTCCGAAGCTGGAATCACTTCTCAGGAGATGGATGGGGGGGCATATTCGAGTCTATCAAGGTGAGCGCTCATTCCATTGGTTTCCCTCTTGCCTCCTCTTCGCATTTGACGATGTTGCTGGTCTCCTCCGTCGTGCTTCCTGCATGGAAGCCTTTCTTGCGGCCCTGAACGCCCGTCGAGTTGGGCGCTCTGCCGCTGCTGAACAGGTGTCTGAAGCCCGTCTGCGTGTGCTGGCCCGCCGCCACCCAGCGCTCGCAGACGTTTGGTGTGATGCAAGTGTTTGGGTCACTCGCCGTCTGGCGAGGGAGGGGGCCCCGAGAAGGCGAGCGCTGCCGCCGCGGGTGCACGGCGCCCCGCGCGGCAGGCGGGAGCTCCCCTCGGATGGTCACCCCCCCCCTTGCCGCGGCAGAGTGCGGACTGCTCGACCAAGGAGTGTCGACCGCCTTGCGCAGGGACTCCAAGAGGCCTTGAGAGCCCCCCCCGACTGCGCAGCGCCCCCGGCAGCCAGTTGCCGGTTCGTCCGAGGCTGGTCTGCCCGGGGGCGCGCGCGCTCGCCGGCCGTTGCTTGAGCTCTCCTGCGCCGCCCCCCTTAGCAGCCAGTTGCCGGTTCGTCCGAGGCTGGTCTGCGTGGGGGGAGCGCGCGCGCGCCGGCACCGTTTTCTGATTTCTTCTGCGCATTGCCGTGGCGCAGAAAAAAATGAAGAAAAAAACAAAAAAACAAGTGTTCAAGTCCGTCAAGCGACGGCAGCGCGTGAACGCATCGCTACGTTCTTCTGCTTGCCACCAAACGCGAGCGCCTATGACTCATTACGATCGTTCTGCAAATCCTGCAGGAGGAGGAGGAGGATGAGGAGGAGTATGAGGAGAAGGAGGGATATGATGAACGGTCGGAAGAGGACGGGGACGAGGAGGGGAATGATGCTTGCAGTCATCATCGGTATCTGCTTTCTCTGCCAGTTGCCATACTCATCTAGTGCTGCGAGTGGCCCCCTCTCGGGGATCCGTTTTGGGGCCGTCCAGGAGGCGTGCCGGGCCGTCTCGGGTCTTTCTGTGTCGTCCTCAAGGTCTACGGGGGCTCCTTGGGGGCGTTTTGGGGGCCCTGCACACCCTCTCGTGCTGTCTTTGGCCCCTCTTTGGTGTCCTATTTTGCGCCTTCCGTGCCATCCTGGGGTGATGCTGGGCCTCTGGTGCCGTCGTGGACGTTCAGAATGCTGAGAGGGCGAGTGTGCCTCTTGGGGGCCTCATGTCGGCGGTGGCAGTCTTGGGGTTCTCTTGGCCTGTCGCGAGGCCGTTTCGAACTTTTAAATGGCGTCCACGATATTCGATATTTGTAGAAGCGTTTGCGCATTTCTTGATTCGCTGGAGGAGGGCAAGGGGGGGCGGTAGGAGGGATGGGGGGTAGGAGGACTCTGAGGAGGCGGGGGAGGACGAGGAGGATGGGGCGGAAAAGGAACAGGCGGAGGAGGAGGAGGGTCCTCCTCCTCCTTCCCTCCTCATCCTCGTGCTCTTCTTCCTCCTCCTCCTCCTCTTCCTCCCCCCTCCTCCTCCCTCTTCCTCCCTCCTCCTTCTCCTCCTTCGCCCCCTCAACCCCCCCACCCGCTCCTCCCTGCCCCTCTCCTCTCCTCTCGCTCCCCCCGCCCTCCCCCGTCCCTGCCTCCCGCCCCCCCGGGTGGGCGGAGCTCCCCGCAGCCGCAGGGCCGGGCGGGCTGCTGGAGGCCACCGAGGGGGACTTGCAGGAACTCCAGGACGCCGCGCGCCCGGCGCCGCTTCTCGCGCCCCCCCCAGCCCTCGAGGGCCGACGGCAGATCGAGGAGCAGGCAGGATGCAGCAGGAGGCAGGAGGAGGAGGACGAGGAGGAGGAGGGAGGAGGAGGAGGAGGAGGAGGAGGAGGAGGAGGAGGAGGAGGAGGAGGAGGAGGAGGAGGAGGAGGAGAAGGATGATGATGAGGACGAGGACGAGGATGAGGATGAGGATGAGGACGAGGAGGGAGGAGGAGGAGGAGGAGGAGGAGGAGGAGGAGTGGGAGGAGGAGGAGGCGGGACGCCGGAGGCAGGAGGCAGGAGGCAGGATGATTCGGAGGATGCTGCTGATCATGATGACGATGATGATGCTGGTGAGGCTGGTGATGCTGATGATGATGACGATGATGATATTGGTGTTGCTCATGATGCTGCTAATGATAGTGGTGAGGATCCAATGATGCTGATGACAATGATCATGATTATGATGATGGTTACGACGATGATGATGGTGTTGCCATCTGTGATGAAGATGATGATGATGAGGAGATGGATCGGGATGCTGATGACGATGATGATGATGCTGAATCTGATGATGATGATGATGATGATGATGATGATGATGATGATGATGATGATGATGGCGGTGGTGACGCTGCCGATGACGATGACGATGAGGATGACGATGCTGCTGCTGATTAGGATGATGATGATCATACTGATGATGATGCTGCTGATGATGATGGTGAAGATGGTGGTGATGGTGGTAATTTTGATGATGATGGTGATGATGATGACGGGGATGGTAATAATGACGACGATGGTAACCACGATGATTTTGATGCTGCTGATGATGATGGTGATGACGCTTCTGCTGATGATGAAGCTTAGACTGATGATTCTGATGCTGCTGCTGATGATGATGGTGATGCTGCTGCTGATGATGATGCTGATGATGGTGACGACGCCGACGACGACGCTGATGCTGATGATGAGGCTGCTGCTGCTGATGATGATGATGATAATGCTGATGATTATGATGATGCTGCTGCTGATGATGATGATGCTGGCGGTGATGACGATGATGATGATGATGATGATGATGATGATGATGATGATGATGATAATGATGCCGATGCCGATGACGATTATGGTGATGATGATGATGATGACGACTACAGTGATGACCATGATGATGATGAGGAGGATGAGGAGGGATGTCATG